GTTATGTTTAAACTGTTTTGCCCGAGGGCACCAGCAGCGAGACTGCACGAGCGCCCATACCTGCTCCACATGCCACAGCAGACACCACACCCTCTTGCACCGCGGCAATCCATTCGCAACCGCTCCAAGTCCGCCTACGCAGCTTACCGCTCCAAGGCCGCCTACGTCAACAAACGGCTCAGAGGATCAGTCGAATGTGCAGGTGTGTTTCGCTTCCGGGTCAGGAGCCGTCCTACTGGGCACGGCCCTTATCAACGTGTGCCATTTGGGGTGCACCGTCCAGGCACGAGCACTGATAGACTCAGGCTCCGAAGCGACGTTCATAACGGAACGACTGTTCAACCTCGTCAAGCCTCCCTTCAAGACGATTCAAGCCCAAGTTTCCGGCCTTAATCAGACCATTTCCGCGCAGTCTACAAAATTGTGCCATTTCTCCATTCGGTCGCCGTCTAGACCCGGGCTACAATTAGAGACTGCGGCCTACGTTCTGCCGCAGTTGGCAGGAAATCTGCCATCATATCCGTTTTCGCGAGATCTTCTCAAGGGGCTGCCCGACATTCCCCTGGCGGACCCCAACTTCTTTGAGAGCTCCCAAATCGATGTGTTATTAGGAGCTGACATTCTTCCGTCCATTCTCCTCTGTAATTCCAAGGCTAACATCTGCGGGTCGCTTCTAGGTCAGGAGACCATTTTTGGATGGGTGCTGACAGGCCCATTGTCTCCAGCTAACCCCCGCAGCGTGTCTGTTTTTTCCGTACGATTTGCCCGCAGCCTTGGTGACTCACTGGTTCAGGGTTTCGATTCAGGATGCGAGCACAACTCTGTCTCGACTCCTTCTTCGATTTACACATCGCATCACGCTGCACGGTGGCAATCAGCTGATGATCCGACTGATCCGTCACTGGAGAGCAGATGTACTCGAGGTACACAATCCTACCGATGCCGAGTCTGCAATGGGATCCATCCATTGAAGAGGTGTCGGCGCTTCCTACGCCTTAGTGCCGAGGAGCGGCTCCGAGCGGTTCTCGTGAACCGCTATTGCTCGAGCTGCCTGGCCCACGAGCACTCCGACGGATCCTGTCGGCGTGGGGACGGCTGTAAGACGTGTGGTCAGGATCACCACACGCTGCTGCACCCCGTGAACAAGGAGCACCGGTCACCGCCCGCGGGAGACAGTACACGGGGTGTCTCGCTCTCTCGTCGGCCGTCATCCGCCAACTCCCGGCGCGGTTCGGGTGTTTCTCGCCCTGCGTCCGCCATTTTCCGGCATTCCCAAACCGATCCACGGCCGCCGACCTCCCGGCACTCTTCGATAACTCCTCGGCATTCTTCCGCCACTGGCTGGCAGTCGTCAAGCGCTCCACTGCTTTCGTCCGCCACTCATCGGGTGCCGTCCACCGCTCTTCCGCCCGCGTCATCCGCGCCTAGGCAACTTTCCGCCTCTCCTCGAGGGCCCCCGCAGGACGCGGTCGCTGCGCCCACCCTATCGTCGCTGCTGACCCGGAACAGCGACAACACCGGGACCCGGATCTTCGACACGGGGGCCTTCATCGACCCGTGTACGCCCTCTAGCTGCAGTGACGCATAGCTAGCGACGAGGGATCTATTGCAACCTGAGCGATTGCAAGGGGGGGAGGATGTTTACGTGAGGGGCCGTTGTGCCGCAACTTTAAGAGCGCACCCGCGCTGAAGAGCGCACCAGCACTGAAGAGCGCACCCGCGCTGAAGAGCGCATCCGCGCTCGCCCCCCTTTGCGCTTTCGCTCCTTCGTCGGCCGTCGTCGATCGTATTTTTTCTATTACTTTTGCCTTGTTTGCTTTTCTAAGTTAAGTTAGTTATCTCATGTAAGCAGCCGAATAAAGCTGAACGCGTGCTTTACACTAAACCTAAAGACGCCCCCGACTTTCCACTTTTCAACCCCATTCTGGAATCTTTTTGAGGAACCAACGCCCCCCTACACACAATAAAATAAGTAAAAGAAACCTCTGAGCATCTTCTATGCCATTGCACAGCCCTGGAGTCACTTAGATTATCACATCTCGGAGATAAATTGCTAGCCAACATCACAGAGGTATCACGTATAGATCAACATAGGATACAAAAATTTAGTCTCAAAGTCTCAGGGTGGGAATATTGCTAGACCATGAGTCTCAAACTAACCTATCGCAGTTTAGTCGAAAATTTAACGGTTCTTATGGATCAATCGAACTTATTACATATTACTTATTACAAACATTTTTTTTTTTTTTTTTTTTTTTTTTTTTTTTTTTGTATTAAGTTTGGGTGGAAGAGATGAATACAAGGTATAATATAGTAGGGAAAATAGCCGTCGGTTCTTGTTATAACCAATGTCTTGCCTTTTTCTTTTTATCTACATATATACAGTTGTTTTCAAAATAATAGGAGTGACCATCACGAATGTGAAAATCGGTGAAAAAAACTATGTCAATACGAATTAAATTTCTTAAATTCATTTTTTTTAACAAATATGACTTGTATTAAAGTAATTAAAACTAAAAAAAAGTTACTTCATTAAATACATACTTAAAAAAAAAATAAAAAAGGGAACAACACCCAATATGGGTTTCTCAAAATAATAGGAGCGTTCAAGCAAATTCTCTCAGAACTTTTGAAAATAATATATAACGATAAAATATGGTTATATTAAGTAATTTAATGTTAAATGTAATTAAAAAAACTATAATTAGTCCTTCGTGGCACCACCTTTATTGGCTATCACTGCCGCACAGCGCCTTGGCATGGAATCCACCAATTTCTGGCATCTTTCGGGACGAATCGAGGTCCAAGAGGCCTTTACAATTTCCCAAAGCTCGGAAACATTAGTTGGATGCCTTTCTGCGACCGCCTTTTTAACGTCTGTCCATAAATTTTCGATCGGATTCAGATCGGGGGACTGGGCGGGCCATTCAAGTACTGCAATCTTATTGTCTGCAAACCACTTCTTAGCCACTTGCTTGTGTGCTTTGGGTCATTGTCTTGCTGGAAGACCCAAACCAGTGGCATTTCTTCGCTAGCATAAGGCAGCATTGTTTCCTGCATTATTTGGACATATCCAGGACCATCCATAATATTTTTAATCCAATATATTGGACCTACGCCATAGTACGAGAAACATGCCCAAATCATTATATTATGTCCGCCATGTTTGATCGTTTTAATGCAATATTTGGCATTAAATTCGGTGTTAGGTGGTCTTCTAACGTACTGTCGAGATCCTTTGCCACCATAAAGGACTATTTTCGACTCATCCGACCACAAGATGTTACGCCACTTTTCAACTGACCAGTTGACATGGCTCTTTGCAAATTTCATTCTTGCGGCTATGTGCTTCTTGGTGTGGAATGGAATTTTCCGTGGACTGTGGGCAGTCAAATTTTGCTTCTTTAAAAGACGACTTATTGTTGGGATACTTGCGTCCAAGTTAAGCTCATCCTTGATTTCTTTGCAGCTTGCAAAAGGATGCTTCTTCGAGTACCTTGCAACACGTGTAGCCAGTTTATCGGCTAGAACTTGGGGTCGGCCGCGGGTTTCCGGCTTGGGTGAAAATTTTAGTGCATTTCGGATCATGGAAGCACCGCATCCAATTATTTTTTGTACTTCCTTGTACGTTTTCCCACTTGAAATCAAGTTTTTGATCAAATCACGCCGCTCAGGTGTGCAATGTTTGCCACGACCCATTGCTTTAAATTTTCGATCTTAAACGTTAAAATTGTAGTTGGATATTAATCATTCTATACTTTTAAGCCGTTTTTTTAAGAATAATTACCTTTTTTTGCGCTCTGAACAGATTAAAATGGCACACTCCTATTATTTTGATGAGCGCAAAATGAAGTTTGTTTACGAATTTGGGTAATTCTCAGAAAACGAAGATAGTAAAATGAAAAAATAACGGTACCTCAGAATGTGTATCCATAAACAAATTTGGAAAAAGAAATAAAATTGAAAAAAATGAACGCATAACATTGCTACAGAAGGGACAAGTGCATATGCAAAAGCACTCCTATTATTTTGAAAACAGCTGTACATGTTTAGGTTAGCTTAAACTGCGTGTGAATTGTGGGAGTCTAAATTTTGTTTTAGCTCTCTCTTCGTACGAGCAGACTTACAGTAAACTCAACGATAACCAAGTATAACAATGGCAGTAACAATGACAATGGAAATAAGGCTGTGGTAAACTAATAGCCACAACTGCACACTCCTAAACGATTTTTTTTCCTAAAATAATTTTACTATACATCGTATCGTACAACATCGTACAAAGTTTTTTTTTAGAAATGCCATTTGTCTCATTCACTAATATCTAAAAAGAAAGAGTACTAAAACATACATATACATACATATGTACATCTTTATAAATGTAAACATACATAATTTTTAACTAGAAAGAAGTTCTACTTCAACTTTTCAAGAAATTAATAAAAAAAAAATAAATTTAATTTTAATTAAAAACAACCTAAATTTTCACAAAATATCTAGGATTTAGGTGATCAGAGGGAGGCACCGGTGATTCAAGCATGTATCAGAGCTGACTGCTATCTATGTATGTATGTATGTATATAAATGTACACATGTATGTATTGGTTAATGTACAACATTTTCTTGCAAATTGGCAAAACAAATGGTTACTGATACGTTGTCATTTTTATATATACAAGATACCTTGAATTGGATTAACAACAACATTGCATAAGTTAAATAATTAATTTTTAACACGAACTAAAAACAAATACAATCCATATTATATATGTATATACATATATATAATTTTTACATTCTAGAAAAAATATAAACCTTTTAGTGTAGATAATCAACAGCTTTGTTGAAATACTCGAAAATCTAGCTAAAGGAAAATAATCAATAAAATTCAAAGACCTTATCTCAGATATAATAGGTGCAGATACGAAAACGAACATATCTACGCACATACAAACATTTATAAGCCTTTCGCAAGTATTTTTTAATTGTACGTCTTTGCCTACCTGTCAAATAAAAGTTGTTAAACTTCGTGGCTAGGACCAAAAGCCGCGATAGCTTAACTTCGTTGAAAGACATTTGTTACGCGAAACAGCTAATGTAAACAATTAAAATAAAGAAACGCCGGTTATAGGTACACAGCGACGTTTCTAAATCCGCGAAGCAAATTATATATTATTTGCGTTTTTCCTGGCTCACTTAAAAACCTCCGGTAGCAATTTTTCTTCCCTCACTCACAGTTTAAGAGTGTAATGCGATTTCATTAATAAATAGTAAATCCAGAATGAACAAATGTAAGAGGTGAAGTGTGGTAGAATGCTAGTATATTTGCGCTGTTAAACACTAAACCGACTCAGCTGCTAATAATTATTCGTGATGCCATTTAAGCCATTTTTAGCCTATTTTAATGTCAACAAAAATATTTTTGATTTTTTACCGTAGGTAAAAATCAACTACCAGAAAATCTTAAACTTTAATGAGTTGAGTTCAAGTTTAAGTGAAAATTTTCGAAATTTTGTCGCTCCTACTCTCGACACCAGAAATGAAATCTTATTCTTAGAGTTACCCACTCTAAAACATTTTTTAAGTCTTTATTTTTGACGGCTATTTAATGTAAAAATTTACTTTTATTAGATTAATGTATATAATATTGTTGAAGCACTCGTCTTTCTTGTTGTACTTATTGATGTATTCATTTATAAAAGCACTAAATTTATTACATAAAAACAAAAATTCAATTTCAATTTCGGGCCCTGCCGACTTCTGATATAAAATAACAGATCATTGACATTAAAAACATTATGCAATTTGCTCACCAGTAAATTAATTTTAGTACCTAGAGTTATTTCAAATATCTTGAATACATGAAGTATGTACAATATTTTTTAATGATTTTTTTTCGCATACACTTCGAAATATATACTCTTTTGCTTCATAATAAAAAAAAAAAACTTCACACAAAAATGTTGATTATGGAAATTTAAGAAAAAAAAATATTTATGTTTTGTATTTGTTTTTTCTTGTAATACTACTCAAAAGCCGTGTAAGAAAATAATTTGAGAAAATAATGCTCATGAGTTTCATGTTCAATCAAATCAAATTGGGCTATGATAATTGGGCTGAATTGATTGGGCTATGAGGGCTATGATAAAGCATAGTACTGAGTAGACGAAAATCCGCTGTCGAACTAGTGACAGCTGTCAAACTCCATATAAAAAAAACGGTGTAAAAAAAGGAAGAATTGAGTTGTATTGAGTATTGAGTTAGGGTATTGAGGAGTATTGAGAGAGGGTATTGAGCTGACGAAAATTTTTTGTTATCAATTTGAATGGTTTTGCCGGATCAAAAAAAATAAACAGTTGATCTCGGGGAGTTGAAAGAAATACTTTCATTTATTTCTATAGGTGTGACATGGAGGGTCAATTGATCAAACAAAAAAATAGTCGGCCCGAAAAATTTTCGACGCGCCAGGACAAATTAAAATTAATTTCTGCGGTCAAGGCGAAGCCCATAATATGGGATTTGACCCACAAGGGGCATTTTAATTCCATAAAATGGCATTGAAATGATTTGTGATTGATTTTGATTTTGACCCAGTTTTCTTTTTCTTAATCAGCTCCTTAGCGGCGATATACATAAACAAAACACCAACATTCAATCGTTTTGAATTCATTTTTGATTATTGGTTTTTTGTTTACAAGCAACAGCTGTTCAGTATTACCATATTTCTTAATTTTTTTGGCCAGACTAGCTCGGTAGCTGAATAAAGTGCGATATCGTTATCGGATTTTCAACAGCGGATTTTCGTCAACTCAGTACTATGCTTAATAGAAGATCTGCTTGAATCATTTGTGTCAAAATGTCAACTTTTAAATTCAATTTGCTCTAAGGACCGTAGTACGTTATTTCCTTGACCGTTGGAAGACTACACGTTTTTGTTTGTCAAACATTTCTCTTGTCTGACTACTGGGCTTAATCAGTCTAGGTAGGTAACAAATCCATTTTCCATTTTTTCAGTATTTCTCGTCGTATACATATCGATTTACATATATCAATCCAGCCTTTTTTAGTATTTACTAAATATTTAATATTCCAGCCTTTTTTAGTATTTACTAAATATTTAATCATTAATGTGGCCATGATACAATATAATTTCATCATGAATGTGGCTGCACTACATTTTTTTTGAACAGTGTTGTTAAACAGGCGTGCTACACTACAGATGTCACGCTGTGAGCGGAGCAAGGGAAATTTAAGTTAGAAAACAAAAGGAGAGCTCGAGAAAAAATTTATACTTACGTGTGTAGCGGACGGGAATATCATTTGGTTGGTTTTTAAGAAAAAAAAATTGGTATACCATACTTGGAAAACCTCAAACAAATTCAAAAATGAGTGACGACTTTCTACGAAAACCATTCTCCTTGGCGCCCGCAGCACCCGGTAAACAGAAAACAATTTAGTTACGCAATGTAACTTCTTGTTAAAAAAGCGTTTTTTCAACACATTCAAAAACTTTTTGACGTACTCATTTTTTTGCAGTTGAAGAAGGAGCAACAACAAACTACACTCCAGTTACGAGCACTTTTAGTAGTGCCCCGGTTTCACCGTACCTCAATTATGATTCAAGGTTCTTGCAGCAAGCACAGCCTGAGTTTATCTTTCCTGAAGGCGCTAACAAACAGCGTGGACGCTTTGAGCTAGCATTTTCCCAGATTGGTACTTCGGTAATGATTGGCGGTGGAATTGGCGGAGTTGCGGGCGTATATAATGGTTTTAAAGTCACCAAGGCGCTGAATCAGACAGGAAAACTGCGGCGAACCCAGTAAGTGAACTTTTTAGATGCAATAAATTCATTCATAAAATGAAATTCCTTTACGCAAAGATTAATCAATCACATTATGAAGCAAGGTTCGGGAACGGCAAACACTCTGGGTACTCTGGCGGTGCTATATTCGGCGTGTGGAGTGTTGTTGCAGTTCGTTCGTGGGGAAGATGACCATGTTAATACAATGATGGCAGGCTCTGCCACAGGATTGCTGTATAAATCAACGGGTAAGACTTCAACCAATGTATAATAGCTTATGTAACTGATGTTTTATTTTTATACAGCTGGCCTACGGAGGTGTGCACTTGGTGGCGCTATTGGGCTAGGCATTTCGTCGCTCTATTGCTTATACCTTTTAGCCCAAGAAAACACCACAAACTCAAGTCCAAAATTCCTGTAGATAACAGCTTTCCGAACATGAATAGATCTACGCAGTTTGTGTAAATATTCTATGCGCTTATAAAGAAGTTTTGTTTATTATAAATACTTAGCTTAGGTTCAATGAAAGCCAAAAATGTTTGTTCATTAGGCTTAACGATTTAATACCGAATCTGTTGAGGCTAAGAAAATAGACAGATTAATCGCAAGAAATGTGAAAAATTAAAAACTTATGAACATTGCTTTCATTTAAATAATTGTTTTTATATTTAAACTAAACACGATACTGTTCTGTGCTACTTTACAATGCACTCAATTTAAGCTTGTATTCAGTTCTAGTAGTCCAGATCATTAGAACCTCCACCAGTAAGCGTAAGTACCTTTCGGTCCATTAGGTTATTTGCTGGAGCTTCGCAACTGGTGTCCTGTGTGGAACAAGTGTGACAGTGGCACTTCACCGCCTCCATATATTGGTACTTATTGGTGCTTTCATCGGCTCCAGGATGACAGTTTTTAAGAATTGCTATCGCCGGCTGGCGTTGTGCGTGAACGCAAACAGGGTGAAATGACCGTTTGTAAGGGAATTTCCAATCTGAGATCTCACTTGAGTCGCACCTTCCCCAGCAAGACCATACGCTTACATAGTCCCAGCATTCGTGACCTAGAGGGTCGGATTGCGTCACTTTGTACGAATACAATCGTCGGTGACATCCCAGAGACATTACAGGTGGTCCGTTGTTGATGGGCTCAAGTTGTACCAGTTGCGATGCTAGCCCACGTACTAATGGTGCTCCAAAAAAAAGAGTAGATATTCTGTTTGGAAATAACATAGGTGAAAACCCGTATTCAGATCTAATAAAACCGCCTCACAGAATAAGGTAGCCTGGCATAGTATTTAGGTCGATGGTTTCTTCGGTCAGCAGTGCACTTTGCCTACTGCAGTGCCAACGAAAATCACTGTCAATTTATATGCCTTTTCATTCTGCTTATCGCGCCTGCGCCTTAGATGCGACTGCAACCCCACTGCTTACTTTAACTGCTTTAGCCCGTCTGAACATGGTTTGCATATTTGGTCACTTACCTTAAATTCAAATTCAATGTATAACTTCTGGTTCGTTTAGTTTTAAAAAACATGTGCCAAGCGAATGAAATGTTTAAATATGCATAATAGCATTTTTGTGAATAGATGCATAGACTTAAATGGATTATGCATTTAAGAACTATGAATAAAATTAGTTGGTTGATTTTAAATTAAAAACAAGAAAGGAAAGCTAACTTCGGGCGGAGCCGAAGTTGATATACCCTTGCAGTTAAAACCGGATATATATTGCACAAATCTGATGTAGTTTGCCGATCATTATAAGAATATCATAATATAACCAATTTATTACAATACAAAATCTATAAAAAAGACCCAAGCATCTATCTCCAAAAATACAAAAGTTGGTATTTCTACCAAATACCATTTCCGATCGTTCAGTTATACGGCTATAAGATATAGTCGGCCGATCGTTATGAAATTTTGGTAGGTGGGATCCCCTGACATGAAATTTGGTAGGTGGGATTCAAAAGTAATTGAATCTGTAATTTCCAACTTTCTATCTTCAAAAAAACAAAAGATGGGTTATTTCCGATCGTTCAGTTATATGGCAGCTAAACAATATAATCGGCTCAACCTTATGAAATTTGGCGGGTTGTATTATTTAGCCAAACATAGCACTCATGCTATGCTCAAAATCCGAACTCTCTAACTCTAAAAAAACCAAAGTTATAGCATTTCCGATCAATCAGTTATATGGCAGCTATAGGATATAGTCGGCCGATCACGGTCGTTCCGACTTATATACTGCGTGCAAAAGGGATGTTTTGGGAGAATTCTACGTATTGAAACACAAAGGCAAGTCTAACATGTATGTGTGTGTATTTTGTTTTTTTTTTTAGATATCTTATTGTAATTAATTTGATAATTTTGGTTAATTTTAATTTTGGTTGTATTATGATATTTTCATAAGGATCTGCCAACTAAATCCGATGTTTGCGATATAAATCCGATTTTAACTGCAAGGGTATATCAACTTCGGCTCCGCCCGAAGTTAGCTTTCATTTCTTGTTTAACGGTGAATCCGGAAACACAGACTTTTATTTCCGTTTATATTGTTAAATTTGAAATATAACTCTTATTTTCAATTTTTATAATAATAATGAGAAATAAGAATTAATTTTTATTTTTTATAAAAAATATTTAAAAAAAATTATGATTTATATGATTGATTTTAATTATAAAAATTGAAAATAAGAATTTTTTTCAATTTTTATTATAAAAATTGAAAATAAAAATTGAATGCGAATAACTATTGAACCGACGATTAAAAAACGTTTAACATATTTGTGGTCTTTTATGAAGTACTTTTCAAATGACGCATCGAATGTCCTTAAAGGACATAATCGAGGATTCCTCAATAATTCCTTTAAGGACATTAGATACATAATTTTAATGGTACTAAAGTACCTTTCTCTAGTAAAATAAGAGCTATATTTCATTTCTATATTTCAGCTATAGAGCATCAGCTTAAATTCTTGTATTCATCATAAAGCTGGCCTAGACGACCGAGGGGCGCTCGAGAAACGATCTATTTAATATAAAATGAGCTATTTGTAATTTAAGGGGTTATATACGGTTGTGATAGATAAAAAAATCGATTTTTTTTATTGCATTTTCTTTAAGTATATACTGTTGAGAATACTCTCATAACACTCTTCATAACGATCGGAGCAGTAGAACCGAAGTTGTAGCTATTTATAGTGCACTACTTGCACATCAAATTTGAACAAACTTGAAACTTTAAACGCGATTATCTCAGTATCTTGTTTTTACGAAATTACCCTTGCGGTGGATACGATTACTACAAAACTATTAATCCGATCAACACCAAATTTTGACCACTTATTTATTATGATAATAGCTAGAGGGTGAACGAAGGATTTCAAGGTTTTTTTTTTTTTAAACTTTTTTTAGAGCATAAAAATCAAAAATCTTATACCTTGAAAAAGTACATTTTTTGTTAAACCCGTCATTTTTTTTCAATCAAAATTTTTACAAATCCTTTGTAAACGGACGGAAATTTTTTTGAATTTTTGATTTTGGATGAACCGTTCTCGGGATATGATGTCCACTAGATTTCTGCATGATTGCACTCCAAATTTTCGGTTATTTGAGTACAATAACAAAGTGACAAAGTGAATTGCGGATTGTTAAGGGTTGTTTTCTTTGTATGCGAAATGAGTCAAATTCAAACCAATGTGGAATGGATAGAATGAGTGAATGCAGAGTAAATGCTTCGAGTACTCGGATAAAATTTTGGCATTCTCGTCATTTATTGCAGTTAGAGCAGAAGCTAAAACTAGTTGCACAATTTTTTGTATACCTGCAAGCAGCTCGGCAAGCAGGTAGCAAGCAGCTACCTGCAAAGAGCCTTTTCAGATGCTAGAAATTTAATTTCTGAAAAGCGATGTATTATTGCTAACAATGCAGATACAATAAAAAAAATTATGTTTTTGCATTCTGTTATGAAAAATTAAATAAATGACATACATACATATGTATATATAATAATTAATCCATGCCTTTCTATTTTTCTATTTCTTGTATTGAAAAGCAACACAAAAACAAAAACACGCACAACTAACCGATTACTCGGTTACAAAACTCATTTGGTTATTGCGTCGCCGTTCGGATAGAGTACATTTTTTACTCATGCCTTTACCACATTTGCCAAATCCGTTTTACTCAATGTCTCACTCAGTCAGTCAGAACTTTGAGTGAGAGTGCCAAATGCTGCTTTGACTGTATTCATGCAGACCCAATAAATAAATACCCAGAAACATGTACTAAACAACGTCGGTAAAACATTTTTAAAAAAAATTCTCTATAGTGTCAAAAAAAAATCGATAAAATTTCATTTCATTTCCCCTTAAGGAAATTTAATATAAATTTCTATGATTTAAATTTGAAGGACAGGAAAGAGGTGTTATAGAGTATAGACAATTTTAGTTCGAACATAAGATCCCTTTTTTTTTTTTTATATTAAGTTACTTCCTGTAGTGGAAGGATTATTTGGCCTCCCCGTTTAGACGGGTTAACGCCACAGCCAACGAACTAAGCTAAGGAACAATGGCTAAGATTAGAGGATTAAAGTTTCTAGTCCTTCTATTATTATTATTACATGGCCATGACAACCCTTTTATCGGGTCTCGGCCTGAAGCGCAATGTGCCTCCACGCGACTCTGTTCTGAGCGCGCCTTTGCCAGTTGGTAACACCAAGTGTGGACAGAGTTTCCATCACCTGGTCTTGCCAACGCGTTCGTGGTCGTCCTCTTCGTGTCCCAACAATCACCGCATTAAACACCTTACGAGCCGGAGCGTCTTCATCCATACGGGCAACGTGGCCCAGCCAGCGAAGTCTTTGAGATTTAACTCGACTGGCTACGTCAACATCACCGTACAGCTTATACAGCTCGTGGTTGTATCTGATGCGATAAACATCGTCCACGCAGATTGGACCAAAGATTTTGCGAAGAATTTTTCTCTCGAACACTCTAAGAACAGCTGCATCTGACTGCGTCACTGTCCAGCACTCCGCACCATATAGGAGTACTGGAAGAATGAGCGTCTCGTAGAGTGTGGTTTTTGTGGGTCGAGAGAGAGCTCTACTATTGAACTGCCTACTGAGCCCAAAGTAACACCTGTTGGCAAGTGTTATTCTCCGCTTAATCTCCAGACTGACATCATTTGTGCTTGTTATAGCAGTGTCTAGGTAAGAAGTTAGATAAACTTCTTGACGGACCCAAAGCTATAGTTTTCTGCAGTCAGCTGAGAATCAAGACGCCGCAATTCTCTGCTAGAGCACACCATAAACTTTGTTTTCTCCATATTCACTGCTAGTCGTACTTTTGCTGATTACTTTTCAATAGCCCCGAAGGCTGCTGTGACATCACGCTTGGTGCGGCCAATGATATCAATATCATCAGCGTAACCAAGGAGCTGGACACCTCTGTTGGTTAATATCGTGCCCGTCCGATGTACACCAGCCTTTCTTATAATACTCTCCATTAAAATATTGAAGAGTATACAAGACAGCGAGTCACCTTGACTGAGGCCACACTTGGTAGTAAAGGTTTCGGATTGGCCACTTCCTACCTTGACAGAGCTGATGGTGTTGCACAATGTCATTCTGCAAAGTCTAGTCAGCTTTGCTGGTATACCAAGCTCAGACATGGCGGCATATAGGCGATCTCGCCGGGAGCTATCAAATGCGGCTTTGTAGTCGACAAAGAGATGGTACGTGTCGATCTGGTTTTCGTAAGACTTCTCCAGGATTTGGCGCAAGGTGAAAATCTGGTCAACAGTGGACTTGCCAGGCCTGAACCCGCACTGATAAGGTCCAATCAGTGCTTCAGCATGGGGTTTCAGTCTTTCACACAATACGCTCGTTAGGTCCTTGTATGCAACTGGAAGAAGACTAATTCCGCGGTAGTTGGTGCGCACCGTGGCATCACCCTTCTTCAGGATGGGACAGATCATGCTGAGGTTCCAATCTTCGGGCATGCTCTCCGTGAGCCATATCTTACTGATTAGTTGGTGCATGCTCCCTACCAACATATCACCAGCTGCCTTAAACAATTCTGCCGGCAGGCCGTCAGCACTTGCAGACTTGTTGTTTTTAAGCCGTTGGATTGCTTCCTTGACTTTGATATGACTTGGGATTGGCACTTCAATATCAGTGACTATACCCCAATTGATAGATTGGGGTTCGTCGATCATAGTCTTCAGAGTCTGTGCTTGAGCCCGATAACAGACTCGAGAAGTGATCCCTCTATAACCTCAGCACGACCTCTGCTTCTGTGACAAGATTCCCATCCCTGCACGCCACTGCACCAGTCTTAAGTCCTTGGGTCAGACGCTTGACCCTCTGGTAGAAGTTACGTGCTTCATTTCTGCGTCTGCTGCTCTCTGTGTTCTCACACTTTCGCCTTTCCTGCTCTTACTCTTGCGTCTGAAAAGGCGTTTTTCGTCTCTTCTTCTCGACCTGTATACATCCACAATAGCTCGTGTCGCCCCAGCCTGCAGTGTTTTTCTGTAGGCGGCGTCCTTTGCAG